TGGGATCAAACACAGGCTTGATTTCAATACCAAATGTCCATTTTAACATACGGCCGTTTATGTGGTCCACGTTCAAGCAATGGGTGACCTATGGGCCGGATTTCGACGTGTTCTGTCTGGCATGGTGGAGGTGGAAATGAAATACAATCTCGAGTTGAACAATCAAGATATACGGAATGAGTGGTCCTGCTCTGCTCGTCACATTCGATATCAGTAGTCGCTGGACAATTTCTCATTGGCAAGTCGGCTTGGCGACAGTGTGATAGTTGTATCAAAAATGTGATTAGCCCTCAGGACTAGACACCACGTTCTTTCGTCAATCTCTACAGTCATCAATCTTCGACACCAAATCCTATGTCGTTTGTGCATATCTTTCCATAACTTTTTCTCTATACCGGAAGAGAGCAAGTCTAACGAAAAAATTCCTAAAAACGTCAAAATAACGCCGTTAGCACTTACACTGACTTGTATTCGATAGATAATCTCCTCAGTAATAGGACCGGTGGGTACCTGTGAGATAGACATTGAACGAATTCCGTGTCATTAGGTTGGCAGGTTGGCAAGTGTGCAAGAAAATAAGATTCTGCGATCTCTCCTTTTTGTGTCGATCAGAATCATGTGATTGAATGATGTGAACTTGTCAGAATTTCAAATTTTACAGAACGCTTTCGCTACTTCAAAATATGATCTCTAAGTTGTGCAGATACTGTTATTGTTTATGACTCTTAAGGTTCTCCCCACGTCAGGGAGTCACTACATGACGGCAGTGGCGATTGTTACAACAGAATAAACAAAATTTGCACTCTTATAGAGTTGCATATATGAAGTTTTCTGGATCGTGTTCAGCATATCAAACAATAAAATTTGGATTTTTAAGTCCTCTTTAAATGCTTATCAAATATAGTATTTTAACTCAATGTTTATTCTAACGTATTGAGACTGTAACTTTAATTCGGATTGATGCCGTTTGTCATGTTAAAAGATGTCTGTGCGAGACTGAATCAATAAAGTGGTTAACACATGCTTTTTGTTAAAGTGCCAATGTAATTTAATTTCCATAAACAATATTCTGCGCGCATTCGCAGAAAATATCTTTTGTTAAAATGCGGCGCATTTGATACGTTCTCTATGTAACCATACTGGACTAATTTGAGATGTCGATACGATTCCTATTGTCACGAATAAACATTATTCATCCATCCGTTGAGAAGCCGAAACATTACTCTCTACTGTGTGTACGATTGGAATGAGAAACTTATGGTTCTGTGGGTATTATTATGTAAATATAACTCTGCAAACAATATAAATAGTTAAAATCGTAACAGAAACACAACAACCACAAATTTCTTTGAAAAGAACAATTTGTATCAGTTTCCACGCTCGTGCTAGTATACTTGAAAGAATAACTTGGTAAATGAGCCCTTTCTGAACATGCTCCTGCTCACTGGTTAGTTAATTCTTCCTCGCTTATGTGTAAATTACACGTAGACGTCGTTATAAGTAATGTACCAATGTTGAAGATCGTATAACCAAGATGACATGAACACATGAATAGAATTGAGTAAAGTTTTATTATATTATCTCAAAAAGATTGTCGTATACAGAATAGCACATAAAATTTCTCGTTAATAACTGTATAAAGTCGGTGATATAATTGATGTACGTTAGAAACAAGACCGTGTACAGCATGGCACAATAATAAAAGTGCTCAGTATAATATAGTAAAAAGTTTGTTACGCACAGATTATTTACGCAAAGCGCAAATTAATTGCATCGGTTGAATTTGTTACAAGCACAAATAAATTTGTTTGTCGACCAAATACAAACGTTACAATCCTGGAACAAGGATAATTTTTCGATCAAAACAATTTGTTTATACAATAATATTTATTAGATGCGACAATACTATACTCATACAAGTTATCAATGGCATTGTTTTTCGGGATAGCAGCGCTGTCATACAATTATAGAACACAGTTTCTTTCATTATGATTCACTAGCTGCATGTTAGCGCTACATACGAGATATGATGTCTTCAAATTTTGCTTTTCAAACGTGATACGCAAACGAAATTTACACAACTTTAATAAACATTTTATTTCTACTTACGCTCGTGTGTATCAACTATTGATAACCAAGACGTTTCGAAATTATCCCACATATTGCTTATCGACATATCTATACTGCACTCTTTATATTGAAAAGGTCAATTTGTCTTGTCGATGTATTGCTGCTTAAGATTAATGGTTTGTTTGTAAACGCACGCATACAAGTATAACGTTCATTGGATACGGAACAATGGTGCCTTTTGTGGGCCTATTATTCAACCATGAAAGCTTAGTTACATTGGAGATACTTGGTCAACAAACAAATAATAGTAATTCCATTGTTTCTGTTTATATACTCTCGGGCTTGCGCTAGTTGGCGTTGAAGTCTTGGCAACTGAAAGATCACTCTGGCTGAGCTGAGCTAACAACAGTAGCACATGCTGAATAACAATAACAAGGGAAAACGTTTCAGAGAAATGTGTTTATTGTTGACACTTTTTGAATGCCATTGATGTCATTTTGAATATAAGTAACTAATTGCATACATTATTATGCGTAAAACTGCTGGTATGTAGTCAATATACATAACAATATGACAAGTCTATGCTATACATGCATACACGTTCGATATTGTATACACATATCTGGTAACAATACACTTTTTAGCAACGCCAAGCCCCTTGTATGAACATCAAGCACACACATACAGTCAACAAACGCAACTTTATTATTTTAAAACATGAACCCATGGGAGAGGGAGGAAAGTTTCAAATGACATCATATAACGATTTCAAACACCCACTGAAAAATCGGATATTACTTGCATCAATCTTTCACCCCCGTTCATCCCAACATTGTCCGTAACATTGGATTGTTTTGCTAGTGTTACTCTCTTGCTCTCCTGTGCGTTTCAGCAAGTCTTCTCTTGCATATTCCACACATTGTTATTTTACATTCTCGAATTCTTACATTTCCATTGTCTGATTACCGGGGATTCGGCATGCAAGGTACCGTTTTTATGCATAAACAATATCAGGAAACTTGGGCTGTCCATCGCAAATACTATGCCGTCAGCTTGCATGAGTATATCAATAGAACTGTGACACGGATATATATACCGGCATCCCTATTTAGCAATATTCGTTGTCTAGGTTTGTTCGTCTTTATTGGTTCCGGTCGAAGAACAAGGCTAAAAGCATGCTCATACGTCATAGAGTTTCAAAAGCTTATGTTGACGGAAAAGGAAGATAGTATAACAACAATATATGGACTTCTGTGGCAAACGTATGTTATCCCCTGCAGATAGTGAAAATTTTCATTGGGTGCCACACTGAAGCACGGCATTTTCACATGTCGAAATGGGTAATTTGTACGGTCAATGACAACACAAAACTTACGATAATCATAAATCACTTCTTACTTTTTTTTTATTGTGCGCTAATCATACTAATACTGTAAACTGTATCTAATTTTTTCTTTTCTTTTCTTTTTAACATACAAATTGAAAATACTACTTTTAAATATTATACTTTTGAGTAATACTTTTTTTTTCTTTCGTTTTTACAAAATCTTAGAGAAAACTTATGGGAATGGAAATAAACAAATGGAAAGGGG